ATAAAGTTGGCGATTAGTTTTTCCATTTCATTAAAGAATGTTGTTAGGATTTGGATAGGGATTATGTTGTATCTATAGATTAATTTGGGTAGCATTGACGTGTTCACAATGTTGAGTCTTCCAGTCAATGAACATGGAATATTTTTCCATTTATGTAGATCTCTTTTTGTTTCTTGCAGTAGAGTTTTAATAGTTTTCCTTGTACAAGTCTTTTACATCCCTGGCTAGGTTTATTCCTAGGTATTTTATGCTTTAGTGGCTATTATAAATGGTAGCTTTCTCGATTTCCTTTTTGGAGTTCCTTGTTGGTATAGATAAACCCAACTGATTTTTGTGTGTTGATCTTGTATCCTGTCCTTTTTGTCTCTTGTGTTATTAGTCTAGATTGATGCCTACATTCGAGTCAATCCCAGTTCATAATAACCCTATAGGGCAGAGTGGAACTAACCCATAGGGTTTCCAAAGCTGTAATCTTTATGGAAGCAAACTGCATGGAGTGGCTGGTGGGTTCAAACTGCCAACCTTTTGGTTGGCAGCCGAGTGCTTTAATGATTGTACCACCAGCACTCTTTCATTAAGTTATTCCCACTGCTGTTGAGTCAGTTATGAGTCATAGTGACCCTATAGGAGAGAGTACTGCCCCATAGGGTTTCCAAGGCTGTAAATCTTTACAGAAACAGACTGTCACATTTTTTTTTTTTTCCCATGGAGTGGCTGGTGGGTTTGAGTTGCCCACCTTATGGTTAGGAGCTGAGTGCTTTAACCACTGTACCACCAGAGCTTCTCGATTAAGTCATTATGCATTGCAAAATAGTGAAATTCCAGTTCTATCATTCATTTCTTTTAGCTAGAATACTTCTATGAAGTTAACTATTTGGTTATCCGTTATAGTTTGTATAGGAAAGGTTGCTCAAAACTTGGCCTTAGTCAGATCCGACTCATAGCGACCCCTCCTTGGGTTTTCAAGGCAATATCACTATAGAAGTAGTTTGCCCAACCTTCCTCCTGAGGAGTGGCTGATAGGAAAGGTAGAATTAGTAATATTTTATTCTTACCTTTTATTCACCAGTTTTCTAAATAAGTTGATGCTTCACTAGCTTCCTCCAACTGTGATCAATTAGTTTTTTAAAACTATTATTATGAACTCATGGGTTGTTGAAACATTTTTAGGCACTTTAGTTTGATAGAGTAAATGAAGGGAATACTGGTTGCTTTTTTGAAAATAATTAAAAAATATTTGGAATCACTAGTGCAATCCTCAGCCCCAGGGTTATAGGTGAGGAGAGACAACTCAGGGACGCCCAAAGTAGCAAGTGGGAAGAGCAGGAGAAAGGGGATTAAAAACCAGGAAGCCAGAGAGAAGAGCAATCAGCCAAAGGGATTAAGTGAGGAGACAAACTCAGGCCTTCCCAGAGTAGCAGGCCAGAAGAGCAGGAGAAAGGGGATAAAAGCCAGGAACCCAGACAGAAGAGCAGTCAGCCCCAGGGTTACAGGTGAGGAGAGACAACTTAGGGACGCCCAAAGTAGCCAGTAGGAAGAGCAGGAGAAAGGGAATTAAAAGCTGGGAAACCAGACAGAGGAACAGTCAGCCACAGGGACCCAGGTGGGGGTGATACGAGAAGTCTCCAACAGCAAGACAAACTTGTCTGTCGGTTTGTCCTACTGTGGTGATATGTAGACGTGAGTTTTGAGGCTGAGCCTCTGGTGTTTAAAACCCAGC